TACCCGTTATTATCTGTAAAGTTTCAGATAGTAAGGGGTTAACCTTGCATTTTGAGCGAAATTGGACAAAATCAGACGTTAATGCAAAATTTCAATTTGTAAGGGGTTAACCTTGCATTTTGAGCGAAATTAGGCAAAATCAGACGTGTTTTAAATTTTTCAATTTGTAAGGGGTTAACCTTGCATTTTGAGCAAAATTGGGCAAAATCAGATGTTTATGAAAATGTTTGCATTGTAAGGGGTTATTCTTGCATTTTGAACGAAATTGGGCAAAATCAGACGTTAATGCAAAATTTCAATTTGTAAGGGGTTAACCTTGCATTTTTAGGAAAATTTAGCAAAATCAGTTGTTAAAAAAATTCAGATTGTAAGGGGTTAACCTTTCATAAACGTCTGATTTTGTCCAATTTCGCTTAAAATGCAAGGTTAACGCCTTACAATCCGAAATTTTTCGAAAACATCTGATTTTGCCCAATTTCGCTCAAAATGCAAGGTTAACCCCTTACAATACAATATTTTGCATAAACGTCTGTTTTTGACCAATTTCGCTCAAAATGCAAGGTTAACCCCTTACAATCCGAAACCTTTCATAAACGTCTGATTTTGCCAAATTTTGCTGAAAATGCAAGGTTAACCCCTTACAAATTGAAATTTTGCATTAACGTCTGATTTTGCCCAATTTTGCTCAAAATGCAAGGTTAACCCCTTACGAATTGAAAAATTAAAAAAACGTCTGATTTTGCCCAATTTCGTTCAAAATGCAAGATGAACCCCTTACAATCTGAAATTTTTTAGAAACAACTGATTTTGCTAAATTTTCCTAAAAATGCAAGGTTACCCCTTACAAATTGAAATTTTGCATTTACGTCTGATTTTGCCCAATTTCGTTCAAAAAGCAAGGTTAACCCCTTACAATACGATATTTTGCATAATCGTCTGATTTTGCCCAATTTCGTTCAAAATGCAAGGTTAACCCCTTACAATCCGAAATTTTTCGAAAACGTCTAATTTTGCCCAATTTCGTTCAAATTGCAAGGTTAACCCCTTACAATCCGAATTTTCTCATGAACGTCTGATTTTGCCCCTTACAAATTGAAAATTTATATAAACGTCTGATTTTGCCCAATTTCGCTCAAAATGCAAGGTTAACCCCTTACAAATTAAAAATTTTCATAAACGTCTGATTTTGCCCAATTTCGCTCAAAATGCAAGGTTAACCCCTTACAAATTGAAAATTTTCATAAACGTCTGATTTTGCCCAATTTCGCTCAAAATGCAAGGTTAACCCCTTACAATACTATATTTTGCATAAACGTGTTTTTGACCAATTTCGCTCAAAATGCAAGGTTAACCCCTTACAAATTGAAAATTAACATAAACGTCTAATTTTGCCCAATTTCGTTCAAAATGCAAGGTTAATCCCTTACAATACGATATTTTGCATAAACGTGTTTTTGACCAATTTCGCTCAAAATGCAAGGTTAACCCCTTACAAATTGAAAATTAACATAAACGTCTAATTTTGCCCAATTTCGCTCAAAATGTAAGGTTAACCCCTTACAAATTGAAAATTTTCATTAACGTCTGATTTTGCCCAATTTCGCTCAAAATGCAAGGTTAACCCCTTACAAATTGAAAATTAACATAATCGTCTATTTTTTCCCAATTTCGTTCAAAATGCAAGGTTAATCCCTTACAATACGATATTTTGCATAAACGTGTTTTTGACCAATTTCGCTCAAAATGCAAGGTTAACCCCTTACAAATTGAAAATTAACATAAACGTCTAATTTTGCCCAATTTCGCTCAAAATGTAAGGTTAACCCCTTACAAATTGAAAATTAACATAAACGTCTAATTTTGCCCAATTTCGCTCAAAATTTAAGGTTAACCCCTTACAAATTGAAAATTTTCATAAACGTCTGATTTTGCCCAATTTCGCTCAAAATGCAAGGTTAACCCCTTACAAATTGAAAATTAACATAATCGTTTAATTTTTCCCAATTTCGATCAAAATGCAAGGTTAACCCCTTACAATCCAAATTTGTCTCATAAACGTCTGATTTTGCCCAATTTTGCTCAAAGTGCAAGGTTTACCCCTTACAATCTAAAAATTTTCAGAAACAACTGATTTTGCAAAATTTTCCTAAAAATGCAAGGTTAACCCCCTTACCAATTGAAAATTTTTAAAAACGTCTGATTTTGCCCAATTTCGTTCAAAATGCAAGGTTAACCCCTTACAATCTGAATTTTTTTAGAAACAACTGATTTTGCTACATTTTCCTAAAAATGCAAGGTTAACCCCTTACAATACGATATTTTGCATAAACGTCTGATTTTGCCCAATTTCGTTCAAAATGCAAGGTTAACCCCTTACAATACCAAAATTTTAAAAACGTCTGATTTTGCCCAATTCATTCAAAATGCAAGGTTAACCCCTTACAATCTGAAATTTTTTAGAAACAACTGATTTTGCTAAATTTTCCTAAAAATGCAAGGTTAACCCCTTACAATACGATATTTTGCATAAACGTCTGATTTTGCCCAATTTCGTTCAAAATGCAAGGTTAACCCCTTACAATACGAAATTTTTCATAAATGTCTGATTTTGTCCAATTTCGCTCAAAATGCAAGGTTAACCTTTTACAATCCGAAATTTTTCGAAAACGTCTGATTTTGCCCAATTTCGTTAAAAATGCAAGGTTAACCCCTTACAAATTGAAAATTTATATAAACGTCTGATTTTGCCCAATTTCGCTCAAAATGCAAGGTTAACCCCTTACAATACGAAATTATTCATAACCGTCTGATTTTGTCCAATTTCATTCAAAATGCAAGGTTAACCCCTTACAATCTGAAATTTTTTAGAAACAACTGATTTTGCTAAATTTTCCTAAAAATGCAAGGTTAACCCCTTACAAATTGAAATTTTGCATTAAAGTCTGATTTTGCCCAATTTCGTTCAAAATGCAAGGTTAACCCCTTACAATGCGAAATTTTTCTTAAACGTCTGATTTTGTCTAATTTCGCTCAAAACGCAAGGTTAACCCCTTACAATCCGAAAATTTTCGAAAACGTCTGATTTTGCCCAATTTTGCTCAAAATGCAAGGTTAACCCCTTACAAATCGAAAATTTATATAAACGTCTGATTTTGTCCATTTTCGCTTAAAATGCAAGGTTAACCCCTTATAAATTGAAAATTTTCATAAACGTCTGATTTTGCCAAATTTCGCTCAAAATGCAAGGTTAACCCCTTACAATCCGAAATTTTTCGAAAACGTCTGATTTTGCCCAATTTCGTTAAAAATGCAAGGTTAACCCCTTACAATACGAAATTTTTCATAACCGTCTGATTTTGTCCAATTTCATTCAAAATGCAAGGTTAACCCCTTACAATCTGAAAATTTTTAGAAACAACTGATTTTGCTAAATTTTCCTAAAAATGCAAGGTTAACCCCTTACAAATTGAAATTTTGCATTAAAGTCTGATTTTGCCCAATTTCGTTCAAAATGCAAGGTTAACCCCTTACAATGCGAAATTTTTCTTAAACGTCTGATTTTGTCTAATTTCGCTCAAAACGCAAGGTTAACCCCTTACAATCCGAAAATTTTCGAAAACGTCTGATTTTGCCCAATTTTGCTCAAAATGCAAGGTTAACCCCTTACAATACGAAATTTTTCATAAACGTCTGATTTTGTCCAATTTCGCTTAAAATGCAAGGTTAACCCCTTATAAATTGAAAATTTTCATAAACGTCTGATTTTGCCAAATTTCGCTCAAAATGCAAGGTTAACCCCTTACAATACGATATTTTGCATAAACGTCTATTTTTGACCAATTTCGCTCAAAATGCAAGATTAACCCCTTACAATCCGAAAACTTTCATAAACGTCTGATTTTGCCAAATTTTGCTGAAAATGCAAGGTTAACCCCCTTACCATCTGAAAATTTTCAGAAACAACTGATTTTCAATAAATAAATCAGACGTTTATGAAAAAAATTCGGATTGTATGGGGTTAACCTTGCATTTTGAACTAAAAAATTGACAAAATCAGACGTTTATGCAAAATATCGTATTGTAAGTGGTTAACCTTGCATTTTGAACGAAATTAATTGGGCAAAATCAGACGTTTTTAAAAATTTTCAATTGGTAAGGGGTTAACCTTGCATTTTTAGGAAAATTTAGCAAAATCAGACGTTTTTAAAAATTTTCAGATTGTAAGGGGTTAACCTTGCATTTTGAGCAAAATTGGGCAAAATCAGACGTTAATGCAAAATTTCAATTTGTGAGGGGTTAACCTTGCATTTTTAGGAAAATTTAGCAAAATCAGTTGTTTTTGAAAATATTCAATTTGTAAGGGGTTAACCTTGCATTTTGAGCGAAATTGGGCAAAATCAGACGATTATGAAATTTTTTTATTGGTAAGGAGTTTACCTTGCATTTTGATCGAAATTGGGCAAAATCAGACATTTTTGAAATTTTTCAGATAAGGGGTGAACCTTGCATGCGTATGTTTAATACCCCTAGAACTATGGGTATATTACAAGTAATACCCATAGTTCTAGGGGTATATGTTTGAGTCGTCATCAGTACCTCTATTTCATGTAACAAAAACAACATATTCGTTTGCCAGACGATAACTCCAGAAATACCTCATGTATCGAACTGAGATTACATCTGGTGGTTTGCCATGATATAATAACACAAATCTGTTGAATGTCAAGATAATATAGCCCGAACAATCCAGTGTGTTCAGTGCGAAAAATACACTCACTAGTCCAAACAAAAGTCAATTGCAAGTATCAAAACAACATATTCGTTTTCCAGACAATAACTCAAGAATTACCTCATGTATCGAACTGAAATAACATCTGGTGATTTGACACGATATAATAACACAAATCTGTTGAATGTCAAGAGAAATTGTCAACTAATTGAAATAATACAGCCCAAACAACCCGGAGGTAAAACTTTTAGTGCGAAAAATACAGTGATTACGCCAACAGAGGGCGCAATTCATCTTTATAACCGAACCACGAGCGAGATGCAATGGGATTCTGCTCCAGCGAAAGTTGGTACAAAATCGTAGTTTTAATCCTGTTTTCACTCCTCTTCGGTGAATGTTTCATCGTTTGCGTGGAGGGGCAGAGAGTCCCATACGTATTTGCGAGATACCCCTTCAAGAAAAAGCCGAAAAACGTAAGAAGTCCACTTTGCAATGTGCCGAATCATCGGGTGTTGCTCGTATACTGGGGGCGGGGTTAATATAAGATAGTGGATATTTTGCCGGAGGTAATGACGGCAAACTAACGATTACTAAAGGTTTGCCGGCGGCAATCCATATCACTGTACTCTTTAAAATAGGGCGGAATTATAAGATGTATTAAATTCCCACCAAAAGTTGTGTAGCACGATTGGTGTAATGGTTAAGCAAAGGCTCTAGTAATCGGGATGACTCGCGTTCGATTCCGACCGCACCACATTTTTAAGGTTTTTTTTTGTCATCTCCAAATAAATAAGAATATTCTTCTTTTATTATTTTAACATGTCTCAAACATTTTTTGCAGAGTATTGCATTTTCTTTTTCAGATTTGTGGCTCTGGAGGATTTTTTTAAAAAGGGAAATAAAGTCCGAAATTATAAAATGGTCTGAATCCCATCTTGTGAATACGAGGTAACAACGATAATTTTGGCATGGAGCCAGACTAAAACTTGTGTTCGGAAAATGTTTAAGTAAAAAAAAACAGTAACTGCGCATGTTCAGTGCATATCCGGCAAACTAACGTTTACTAAAGGTTTGCCGTCTCCGGCAAAATATACACTGCCTAATTTGAATCGCCATCGTTTTAATTCTACGCAAGGCAGTGGATATTTTGCCAAATTTTAGTCTGGCTCCATGCCAACATTATCGTTGTAACTTTGTATTCACAAGATGGGAATCAGACCATTTTCCAATTTCTGAAAAAATTCCTCCAGGGCCACAAATCTGAAAAAGAAAATGTAATACTCTGTAATAAAATGTTTGAAAAATGTTAAAATAATAAAAGAAGAATATTCTTATTTTTGGGGGATGGGGGAAAGAACGTAGAATTGTCGCCAGTGGGGATCGAACCCGGATCCTCCTGCTCATGAGATCCGTTGCTTATCCACTATGCCACTGGTGCTACACAACCATTGGAAGTAATTTAATATATCTTTAAATTTTATTCAGCCCTATCTTAGAGAGTACAGCGCCCTCAGTTGATAGAAATTGCCGCCGGCAAACCTTTAGTAAACGTTAGCTTGCCGGGATTGCCGCCAGCAAAATATCCACTATCTAATTCTAATACATGTAATATGAAAAAAGTAAGACTGCTGCAAACTGCTTACTGACTGGGTGGACCTGAAATATATAAATCTAAAAATTAATGTGGCCTGACGTTGCGAACTTAGCAAGTTCTTCTTCAGAGGCTAAAACAGAATTGACAGAGGTACATACATTAACATGGGGGTGCACACAAACATGCAGGGATGAAAGAAGAAACACAAAAGGAGGATTAGGTGGGAAAGGTGTGGAAACATGTAATATGAGTGAACATTTTGAACAGTTATATTGATTCATAAAAAAATATTTCCCAATCCACGGTACATTCTACCTATATTCTGCATGATGTTTTTACCCAGGAACGACAGTTCAAGATTAGTATCAGGCAATGTGAACAGAGCACTGACTGCAGTCAAATGCAAGGCTTGGATATGACGCGCTGTGCCCGCAAGTGCATAGCACCAGACTGCTACCAAGAGCTGTACGCTCATGATGAGGTTGGTACTACGGCTATGACCGAATTACACGACTATGGCTTAAAATTACACACGCGCCTATGGAAGCGGCTGCAGCCACTTCCCATAGACCTGTGCGTTATTCCTAACCATAGTCGTGTCATGTCATTCAGACGTAGCCTACCATGGGGAAATTGAGCAAGGATCAGAACATAAATTCAAATAGACAATTATGTAAACTCCCTCACTTCAAAACCTTGGGAAAAAAATACGCAACTGTTAATTTATTGTGGGGGTGTGCTGTGGTCCAATGGTTATGGGCAATTCCACGGTTACCCACGTTACATTTTTGATGTACTTTTGAATTTTCCTTGGGCTTGAAAAGGCTTGAAAAGGTTTAATAACTGTTATCCCCATGGTAGATAGAGTAGACCTAGACCTACCTAAGCACCAAAGATGACACCAAAGATGACATGTGTTATGTATGATAAGCGAGACGCAGAAAACCTGTTACTCACGTTACGAAAATGTAACGTGAGTAACCGATTTTGTGCATCTTGTCGCTAAGAGAAGGGGTTTACCCTGGTGTTTCTGGCAGTGGCTGTAATATGTGCTGCAGCACCTTGTAAGTTTTACCCTTATAAGGTGCTGGTTAATGGGTTTCATATTTCTCAGGCCAAAAAAATAATAGTTCTGCTTCCGGTTTCCCTACTTACCCTACTCTGACAGCCCCTACCCTAAAAAATTTTATGGGAAAAATGAGAAAGAAAACGCCCAAACCATAAATTTCTACCTTTTACCCTTGACAATGCGCAGACGCCTCCATATGACTGTACACAAAAAAAATTGGCATAAAAAAAAAAATTCCCTACCTACCTACCCTATTTTAGGAAGCCATGTATTCGGAAGCAGAACTATTATTGTTTTGGCCTAATGTAAACCCCCCACTTCAAAACATTGGGGAAAAAATATGCAACTGTTAATTTATTGTGGGGTGCTGTGCTCCAATGGTTATGGTGTTTGACTCGTGTGCCGTGGTATATGGGTTCGAATCCTGACCGTGGGAACATGGTGCTTGTGCTCTTGAGCAAGGCACTTTACCATTACTGCTTCGTCCTTCGGATGGGATGTAAAGCTGTAGGTCCCCTGTGTTGTGTAATGCACGTTAAAGAACCCAGTAACACTTATCGCTAAGAGAAGGGGTTAGCCCCGGTGTTTCTGGCAGTGGCTATAATATGTGCCGCAGCACCTTGTAAACCCTTATAAGGTGCTACATAATAAACTTCATTTACCTGTAAAAGACATAATTTCCAGCGCCTTGAGTACCTATTTTTGGTTACATACTCTATAATACTCTGGTATTATTATTATTATTAAAAGGTAGAATATATACATGTTCAATGTAGATCATTTGTCATTGTGCATAAATTTGTTTCGTTTGAAGCAACAAAAATGCTCAAAATCTAAAGAAGGGTGCTTAACAACCTGATGAAGTTTTAGCTCTGTGAATGCTGTATATTCCAAGAAAACACTATTTTAGGATCTCGCTTGCCAATCAAAAGTGTCCATGTTTTGAATTGCGCCCGAAATCAGCGTCCGGGACACATTCTCATTCAGCCGATTGCCACTACACAATGTCACGCACTGAAGCGCGCTTGCGTGTTTCATCGCTTGTGCACACCCATTCACGGATTCGCCAAATTACAAACCAACTAAAGGAAATTTCAAACAATGCGTCACTTGACGCATCTTTGGAAATGGCCTTCTTTGATTGTTTTCTTCAAAATGACAGTTTGCCAGAAAGAATAATTTCACAGGAAGTTTTAGTGCCATTACTATTTTTACTTAAACCAAGTATGCTTTTCAACAATAATTTGGTCATTTACATTTTGGATAGCTGCAAATTATTTACCCTACCTTTAAACTAGCAACTGAAAATAAAGAAGTGATTTTGCATTGTGAAACTCGAAACAGCATGGGGAATGCACCTTTTAAGTCAAACAATCTAGTACACATGCGTGCATGGACCTCAGAAACAGGAACAAGTAGTTTCGGCACGAGTTTATTTACTTTCATAATTCTGTACACGCTATCATTTAGGAAATGATATTGCATAGTTTCCTGGTTAATGATGTTGTTTAGTCCAGTTTCCCTGCAGTTTAAACACTTGTATTTCCTTCTGACGTTGCTGTCACTTTTGAGGTGATTCAGACATTTTGATCTTTTTGTTAGTTTGCTTGTTTGTTTTTTAGTTGTTGTTTTTTTGGATCAGTTCAAGAATGTTGTAAAAGTTTTGTCATTTTGTCATTTTGTCATTGACCAATTTTAAGCCCGGGGAATTTGCAATAGCGCATTCCATCTGTGTGTTCCATTTTGGTTAGGTTAACTGTTTAGTGCTGTCATATGAAAAATCAGACTTCGATCTCAACCAAACTTGGTGACAATAATCTTTGGGTAAGGGGACTTCAGATGACTTGAGACAGTTGAGGTCAAAGGTCATCAAGGGGTCAAATGAGGTCATTGCTGATTTTGGTTAGGTCAACTGAAAAGTGTGCTTACTAACTGACTGTATACTGTCAGCATGCAAAGAGGATCGCGCAAGTTTTACTTGCAGTGTTTTTTTTTTTTTACAAATTAATTAATGGTAACATGTACAGTTCTACATTGTACATGTAGCAATGCACTAGAATTTCCAGAGCCTCAGACTAATAACAAAGAAGTACTGACGTGAATTCACTTTTTGATTTGGAGATAAATGCAGTAGCACGTTAGGCATCCCAAAGTTTTACTTTGCTTGAACATATATATTTAGGGAAAATTCTAACTGACTAACTAGTGCCAGTGAGACGATTTTGAATTAAAGTAAAAGTACAGTCTGTCACGAGCCAAAGCGGCCCATCAGGCTGGCGTTTATCTCCGGTTTCAGTAGCATGAAACAACCAAGAATATTTCTATTCCTCCTGGATGGGATGCTAGTCCATCGCAGGTTAATCCCCAGTTAATGCCGGTACCCATTTATACTCCTGGGTGGAGAGAGGCAAGTGGGGGTGAAGTGGCTTGCCAAAGGACACAACATATGGCCAGCAGCTGGATTCGGACCCCTGACCCTCTGATCATGAGTCACAGACCCTAACCACTAGGTCACACTCCCCCATTGCCCAATGTAATGTGCCAAAAAGCCACTAGATTAGCATGAACAGCGGCAATAGGGTTTATTTTTAACACAAATGCTTTGAACTTTGAACTACCATTTAGGGTGTTTGTATATGTGGAAATCCATTCAAATCACAGTTAAGCAGGTGCCAGATTGTTCCTAGTTTCTGGTATTCTCATTATCCTAAACCTCGCCAGGCAGGGTATAGCCCGCCCCAACCCCTCCCGGAACTGATGATACTGGAACGTGTAGATGAAGGGGTTGACGCACATGTTCAGGAACGCAAAGATGATGCTGGCTCCGTACAGGTCCATATTCAAATGGACTTCATCACTGATGTTGTAGTAAAAGTAGGCAAATTGGTTTGGCAGCCAGAGCAGGCAGAAGACCCCACAGACGGTGACCAGGGTTTTGATGACGTTCCGGCGCGCCAGGCTGCGGGACGCTGACTCTCCATGCTGGTTGGCTGGCTGGACGATCGGCGTCCGCTCGTTTGGAGAGTCACCAGACGCTGCCGTATTCCCCCGCAACGCCCGGTAAATTCTGACGTAGGCAAACACCATCAGGCCCAGGGGCACTAGGTAATCAAAGACCAGCACGGCCACCGAGTATATGATCTTAACAGACCAGGTTGGGAAGTGCTTCAACTTACACTGGTTATGTTTGTCTACAGTATGCCCGAGTACCGTGTAGATTTCCAGCAGGTAGCCCAATATCCAGGGCAGCGTAGCCAATGCCAAGGACCTGGGCCATTTTAGGAAGGACCTGTTGCAGTACTGTAAGGGGTAGAGGGTGGCATAGTAACGCTCAAACGTCAGCAAGAGCAGATTTACCATGGAGGCCATGGTGGTTGCCCAGAAGAGGTACTTGGAGTTCCAGATGTAGCAGATGAATGCTGCCGCGGCCGGAGTAGGCGATGGGGGCCTCTGTCCCGGGGTGAGAAAACACAGCACCAGCAGAATCGAGGTAATCAGGTCAATCAGGGATTGGTTGATCAGGAGGATGTTGATATTGCCCCTGCGGGAGGCGACCGCAGAGGCCAAAACGTAGATCACCAGGCCGTTGCCCGCGATGCCCAGCGCGGCAATAATGCTGAAGACGATCTTGGTGGCTAAATGTAAGGGAACATCATCTGGGACTACGTGAGAGGAAATCATCGCTGCTTACATGTAACAACAATTGCAGTGCAGTAGTTCTTGCATATCATAGGCACTTAAACTTTAAAGTGTACACACAATGTTCATGTATATATGTACATGTGATTGTCCTGTATTTAGTTTTTTTGGTTCAAAACATGCATTAACTCCTTGTAGACTTTGTGAGTCAACGCATCACAAAGAAAGGCATTTTGCGCTTTGGGTCAATCAAGTCTCTCAAGCTTCAAGCTTGTAAATATATCCCCTCGCAGTTTCCGAAATCAGTGCTTGTGAAGCATGTCTGTGGAGAAAAACCAATATTTACAAGTAATTCACCACGAAGCTAAACTTGTCAACACAAAAAACACATCAAGCTAGCCGAGGAAGAGTACATGCTATTGTGTGTCTACACATCTGTTCTTACATGTGATGGCAACTTTTCCGCGGCATTTCTCCAGAACGATACAAGTTCACAGCAAGCAAAAAGTGGTGGCATTGGTTGGGTCGCCTAATCACAAAAGCCTGCACAGTCAACGGTTGCAGAGAAAGTCATCCCGCAGCATGTCATCAGTTGCAGACAGTGACAGTGTAGAAATGGGTTCCATTCTACACGTAGCTCGTTTTGGTCAACAGTCTATCATTTTGCTGATAGTTTGCAAGATGTTGCATATGTGCATAGTTCTGGCTCTGTGCAGTTGTTGTCGAACACGTCCAGACGTTTGAATAAATTCCTGTGTCACTGAACTGTCTATTGATCCGTCTGGTGAAAAAGTACATCATTGTGAAAGTACTGAAACCTGATCCAGACAGTATGTGTGTTTCCTATGGGTTGTGTTTCCTTGTTGTGTTCAGTGGATCGTACCTGTTGTGAAAGCCTAAAATAAAAAAAAACACAAATGGGAAATTTTCTGTTGCCATAAATAGACTTTTCACGTACACTGTACGTGTAGGTGAACAATTTGTTTGAAGGCCGTTTCTTTGAGATTTCAACGAGCTATTATATTTATTGGCTGCATTATAGGTAAACAAATGACTGTAAACTTGTACTTTGCCCTGTGACAGAAGTATCTTAACAATAGCTAGCACAGTGCTTTCGCATCGGACATGTACATGTTCATTTTGTACAAGCATCATTGTGCACACATATTGCAGATTATGCACATGTACATTATGCAGATTATGCACATGTACATGTACATTATGTACATGTTGAGAAACCATTGTGCAGTGTGCACGTTACAATGTATTGTAGAAAGCAACTGCCCTGTGATAGAATTATCTTAACAACAGCCAGCACAGTGCTTTCGCGTTGGACACATACATTTTGTACATGTATATTTTGTATATGTACATTTTGTACATGTACCGGTACATTGTGCACGCATACCGGGGTATATTGCAGATTATGCACATGTACTACTATGTACATTATGCACATGTACATTATGCACATGTACATGTACATTATGCACATGCGTACTTTATACTTGAGAAATACTCGATATATTTTGGTTAAATTTTGGTTATTTTGGTTAAATTGTAGCTTAGTTTTGGGGGTGTTCCAAAGACATCTTTTTAATTTGAGTTGGGCAGCTTAACGTCGCTTTCTCAGTCTTGGTGCTGTTTTCGAGGTTCTCCCAAAAACTAAATAGATGTTGTTTTTAAATTGCTATTTTCTAGACATTGAATAGCAAATCAGCCCATGTTAAGTAACATTTAATTGCAAGTTCAATAAATTTAGGCGAATTATGGGTGGAAAAGCAATCCTAAAATTAAAACAATATCTTGTTTAAATAAAACGTACAATTGAATATTTATTAGGAAGAAAAAAATCTAATGTTGAAGAAGAGCGACTGTAAGATAAATTGAGAAAAACATACATAAAAATTGTCATGGCCTAGCGCTTAAGAACACAGGACTCATGCTCTGGTGTTTCAGAGGCAACAGTGGTCTGGATTCGAACCCGGGCAGACACTTGTGCCCTTAAGCAAGGCACTTAACCATTATTGCTTTGTCCTTCGGACATGTCAGATGGGGCGTAAAGCTGTAGGTCCCATGTGTGGTATAATGTATAATGCACGTTAAAGAACCCAGTACACTTATCGCTAAGAGAAGGGGTTTGCCCGCGTTTCTGGCAGTGCAATTATCTTCAGCCTTGAAGTCTGCACTTGTAAGAAGAAGAAGAAGAAATTGAGCAAAATTCACACTGTTTGATAATGTACGTCATTCTTTCTTTTGCTTCCATTTAGTTGGAGCTTGGTGAAATTGACGTCCGAGCAACATCATTCAGAGGCTGCTGGGTACAACGCTACTACAGGTAGCAGCATGACCCATGGCCTAGGCGTGACAATTCCCCATCGTAGCAGCAGGACCTGTGGCCTAGGCGCGCTAATTCCTCATCGGTGGCAGCAGGACCCATGGACTAGGCGCGCAAGTTCCTCATTGTAACAGCAGGACCCATAGACTAGGCACGCAGATTCCTCATCGGTGCGAATTCCTCATCGGTGCGAATTCCTCATCGGGAGCAGCAGGACCCATGGACTAGGCGTGCAAATTACTCATCGGTGGCACAGGACCCATGGACTAGGCACGCCAGTTCCTCTTCGTAGCAGCATGACCCATGGACCCTTTAATGCAAATTCCTCATCGGTGGCAGCAGGACCCATGGACTAGGCGTGCAAGTTACTCATTGGTGGCACAGGACCCATGGACTAGGCGTGCAAGTTACTCATCGGTGGCACAGGACCCATGGACTAGGTGCGGCAGTTCCTCTTCGTAGCAGCTGCTGCTACCCATGAACTAGGCGCGCAGATTCCTCATCGGTGACATCGTGCAAATTCCTCATCGTAGACTAGGCATGCAAATTCCCCATCATAGCAGCAAGACCCATGGACTACGCACGCAAATTCCTCATCGGTGGCGGAAAAAATGAGAAACAATGCTGTCAGTGTTGGACACTTCCCTGGTATTCCGCGGTTCTAAACGCATGGCAAAAGCACATGCAAACAAGCCAGATGTGGATGTGTTCGCACTTCACTGGTTCCTACCGTTGAACAGCGCACGTGAACCAGTCAAATCTGAGTGGTCATCAACAGAAGAATTCCGAGGCGCACACACGTATGTGTTATAATAGTGTATATTTAATACTTCGTCCCTTTCTACCCTTCTGCTACTACACACTACCAAAATAACATTAAAAGGTGCAATATTAAATTACATGTGCTATGAATTTGGAAAGGGCTAAGTTGGTAACTTCAGTTTATGTTTGAAATGGTTGATGTATCATTTAAATTTTGTGTGCAGGTTTTAAGATAAATATTCCAAGTCCCAAGCCTGTTTACTTACTTCGCACTGCAAACTTTTCCTCAATAAAATCTTAACCTCTTATGCACACAGAATATCAACAATTATGTGACTAAAATATTTAAATGTTTTCAGGAAATAAATCTGATCTGCGTAAGTAATTACCTCATATATTTACATTTAGCATTTTACGTTCCAATAAACCAAACGAGAAACTATCTCTAAGATTGCATTTGTTGTCTACAAAGAAAAAGGGACAATGAAGTAATTTTTAAACATTTACAAAATCATGATTCAAAAAAGCAACGATCAGACTAAGAATAAAGAGAGGAATACATTGGATGTACATTTGTTACATTTTGTATTTTCCAACAAAAAATTCGATGACAAGTGTTGCTTAATGTCAAGAGTGCTATTTATAGTTTTCAAAGCTTATTCAAATAATAATAATAATAATGGGTGCTTATATAGCGCTTTTAACTAAGATCAAAGCGCTTTTACGTTCAGTGTCCAACTATCTATTTGCTTTAGAATTCCTTTTTTTTTTAGAACTTGTTTGTAAGATTCTGCATTAAAAGGGTGATTATGAGAGTGAAAAAGGACCCAAAACTGCTGGAATAAGTTCCTGCAGGCGTTTTCCTAGTTACGGATCGCAAACATTATTCAGTCTACTTATGGCTCAACTACTCCACGAATTCAAGTGATATTGTTTTGATAGTTTACTTCGAGTAAGGGAGATACATGTACTACACAATTCATTTCAAAATTTAAGCGTGTTTGATTTTGAATATGCGATGTCAAAAGTACCGATGCCACTTTTCACTGTTCCCGATTGGATCAAAAACTGCTCCGTGCGAAAATGTTTAATGTCCAATTGTCATATCACCCATTAGTAATTATCTATTTATTTTTTAACCCTAACGTCCTAGCCATTACTTTGGGATAAAGAACAGAATACAGAATATTGTACTGTGACTGTTGTGCACACTTAAATGCTGAAGTATTTCATATTACAGTTTACTAGTAGTGTTTTAGGTGAGGTATAGGGTTAATACCTTGTGATCTGGTAAGTAAAAAGAAGACTACCGGTATTAAAATTAAAGTGGAATTTGAAAGAACTCTTGTAACAAATCACTGGCCTTGTTCCATGAGTGGTTCTATCCTAGCCTTTTTGGCTCCGGACCCCTTCTTGGCTGTTCCCTTAGCCCTGCTGACACTCCCTCCGGAGACACTCCCGCTGGATCCAGAACGGCCAGCGGCGGAGGAAGAAGAGGGACTCTGGGCGTAGCGGGTCACGCAGGAGACCCCGTCCACAAACTTGGTCTTGAAGAGGACGTTGGCGTTGTTGAACATACCGTCCTTGAGCGACACCACGATGAACTGTCAAGAAGAGAAAAATGCACAAAACAACCTTCATTCCTGGGTACAATTTTTTTCTTGAGGTTCAATAGAGGGCATTATCTATCTGCTCCGTTCACAAGTACCCCCTCACCGGGCAAAGAAAGTACAGTAAGGGGTGACCGACCGACGCCATCTTGCCCGACTGCAATTCATTTGCCGCGAAGCGCGGCCACTGCGTGTACATAGTACAAATCGCCTGGTGTACGTGCGTCACACATAAGGAACGATGCGCATCAACCAGCTAAATGTCGCGCCCATGGGACATCGTTGCTAGGTAAAAGGGCGCCCTCTTTCATTGGCGCACGGAGCCCATTGATCCTGCTTCAAGTGCACGGAATAAAAATTGCAAAACCATGATGACTGTCGAAATTCGACATTTCCCCCCGACATTCCTCATGCAGTGTTGCCAAATGTCTTTGTTGACAAAATACTGGTACTTTTACCTTAATGCTTGTTGTTGAACTTTTTGAACTATTTCAGCGTCATGACATTTTTTTGTCCAAAATTAAAACGGTGGCTACTATTTCAGTGTCATGACATTTTTTAGTCCAAAATTAAAAAAACAATGGCACATAATTAGCTGAGTTTTACCTAACGTGGCGCACTTGTATAAATCTCAGAAAATTTGAAGTTAACATTTAAGAATATCTTTCTCAAGTTGAAAAATTCCAATATTTATTATCTCCACTCAGAAACCCAACTAGAAGTTTAATAGAAAATAATTTTCTTATTTTTGGGCACATTTCCAAAGGGTTCACTGTGCACTTCGAAATAAAATCCGAAAATCACGCCAAAGTAAATTTCTCTGCCAACTGTGTAACGGGTAGAAGATCTCACAATTTATGACTGGGAATGTTTAGAGCCTGATGAAATTTCACTTACTATGAAATTTCAGGTAAAACATTTTTGCTCTAGGAAGGCGCTAGAGGCCAAAATCAAAGCCCCAGTCACACATTCATGGTTGGCGCTACGAATATCCACGGTTTACCAAGAACCAATCGATCCCGAACTGTTGAGATTTGTGGAGAAATTGACTTTCTAAGAATGCACTACGGTTTCAGGACGATAGCCACAACTGTCTACGAGTACACCACGGCTTGTCAAGAATATGGACAGATTGGTGAAGAATATCGATGGTATCACTAAGAATAATGACCTTAATGCCACGGTTGTCTGCGATTGGGCCACGGATGACCAAGGTTCTCCTACGAATAAAGCATATTCATAGTACAACCTTAACAGAATCCTAGCACATCTGGGCATATCCGTATGTCATTCGTAGCAAATTCGTCGAAATTTCTACCACTAATGAGCTACGAATCTCTAAGAATATGTACGAATAGCCACAAATAACACGAATTAGTATGGTTGTCCTGCGGATGTCCCACGGTTGCACTACGGATTGATTTTCATGACGATTCACCAAGGAAGTTATGAATAGTTTAAAACTTCCGTAGCCTCTTTGCACGGATGTACCAAGGATGAAAACGGTACTCCAACGGTTTATCACGAATTTCAAACCGTGGATATCCATAGCTCCAAACCGTGAATGTGTGACGGGGGCTTTCGGGAATATCAACAATATTCCCGAAACCTTCAAAAACTTGCACAATTATTGTTGGGATTTGGATATACTGGAAGGGATTCCCGACTGATTTGACGGCTTACCTGCGAGTGCCTGAAGTGAGTGCGTAACATCTGGCCAATGTTCTGGGTGTGGGACAGATCCAACGCTGCATCCACCTCATCTAAGATGTACAGAGGGGCCGGCTTGAACAGCAGAAGGGACAGGATGAGGGACAAAGCCACCAAGGACCTGGGAGAAACAAGAATGAGAACACGCATGACCATCTCCCTGTTACATACAATGCAGAAATGGATGCTCACCCAACCTTGTTTCCATGGGTACGAGATCTTGCTGCGCCATGTTGAATCCCATTCCCATCATGCCTTGCGCGATCTGAACCCCTGGAATTGTGTAATTTAAACGTGCCAAATAGTGGCACATTTAAATTATGACTGCAGCTGATGTATCTAACACGCGATGCTGTGCTTAAAATTTTGAAATTTGTTTTCCCCCGTAAAATCAATCCTTTCAAACATGAGATTTCAATGTCACGTTATTTAGCAAGGATTTATATTAAATGTACGTACCTCTGTCATTTTTTTTTACAAAAAAGATACAGGTTTTTTAGGCAATAAACGAGGTGCCAGAATCCATTTCCTACAGGCATCGCGCAGTTTTGAAAACTATGTTCGTATGTGACGTGACGTGCAGGAGATAATGCGCGAGCGCATATAGCCGTGCAGTCTTCGAAATACACACGCAGTACGCTCTGAATAGCGTAATTTACGTATTCCTCACAGCCAAATTGTTACTGCCTGGATCAAACCTTCATTTTATTTGAATAAATGATGCCTCTGTATTTTTCACATTTGATGTTTTGGGGGCATACATATCCCCCCCCCCCAAAAAAAAGCAATTTGATCAAATATCTAGAATATTTTCATAAAGAAGTTCTGAACGGGGTAAAAAAAAAAGAGATGTGTTTTTTCTAAACCTGGGAATAATTTTTGGTCAAGACTTACCTCTGGCCACCACTCAATTCAGCCAAGCTCTCCTTCCACACGTCACCAAAGGCAACCTTCACTTCCAACCCGTCCAGAATGGAATGGCCCTCAACGGGCTGCAACTTGGCTTGAGTGCCGGGCAAGAGGGTGGAGAAGATCGAACCAAAGTCCTGAAACGGGTGACAAAGATGAAGACAGCAAATGTTACTTTCAAAGCA